CAATCACCACTCTCTCCCCTCTGGGAATACTCTCCATCACCTGATCTCACTCCAGAATCTCTCCTTCTCTTCTAACTCACACCCTACTTGTGGAGCCTAACCACTGACTACATTCAACATTACCCCTTCAATTTCCAACTTCAAACTGATCACCCTATCTGACACTCTTTTCACCGCTAAAACACTCCTCACGAGTTCCTCCTTCAGGATCACTCCTACCCCATTTCTCTTCCTGTCCACACCATAATAAAAGAGTTTGTATCCCCCTCCAATGCTACGCACTTTGCTATCCTTCCACCTGGTCTTCTGCACACACAGTACATCTACCTTCCTTCTCTCCATCATGTCCGCCAGCTCTCTACCTTTCCCTGTCATTGTTCCAACATTAAGAGTCCCTATTCTCAGACCTATACTCCTGTCTTTCCTCTTCTCTGTCTACGAATCCTTCTACCTCCTCTCCTTCTTTGACCGACAGTAGTCCAATTTCCGCCAGCACCCTGTAGGTCAACAGCACTGGTGGCAGTCGTTGTTAACCCGGGCCTCGACCGATCCGGTATGGGATTCGCACTGATGATTTGCATGTTTAAATTTGGCGTGTTTTCACGTCGGATGCCCTTCCTGACGCATCCCTCTCTATTTATCCGGGCTTGGGACCGGCACAGAACTCACTGGCTTGCAACCCCTGTGGCTAGATTAAACCTGAAATCCAATTAATTAAACCAAATTGTTGAGCTACTTCAACTATTAAAAAACATTAATTTTGAAATTCACAAGAAGCATCTGCTGATGTGAACCAAACAGATCTCGGCAGTCTTACCATTAACAACTGTTGATATGCATTAAGCAGGAAAGGGTTTCAATCACAGGCATCGTTAGACCCCCTTTACTGGGGCACATGCCCCAGTATGGATCTGCTGTGCTCCGGTAAAGCCGCATGTTTTAACAAATTTCTGTTTGGCAGTAGATTAATTTAGATTGATAATAATAGAATAAAGAATTCTTGATTTGATGTTATAATCCAGATTGTCAAAGCTGAATATAAAATGAGGTGCAGTGATCAGAGTTTGTACATATCAGTGTACCACCACACATTAAACGCACAGTAGCAATGTGCACTGTGCTTAACTGAAGGAAGAAGCTTAAACTTGTTGGTAAACTAGGTTATAACCACGTCTCAGAAGAAAAAACTTCCTATAAGAGCACTGTTTTGACAAAACTACCAGTGGGCTGCCTTCTCGTTATTCCATCAAATCCATACGGCAGCCCAATGTTAGATGTCGTCAATTTAAATAGGTTACAATTTAAATCTTGCATCATATGCAGATGTTTTTATTGATTTTTAAATGCTCACAAATATGTTCCTGTCACTCTTTTGTGTTTGAATAGTGATGTCTATGTTGTCGAAATCAACACCTCAATACATGCCAGTTGATTTTCTGACAGTCCAGGTTATATAAATATATATGTGTGTAAATAAATAAATAAATACATAAAGCCAAATTGTCACAATGAATAGCTGACCGACAAAATCCTTAGGCAGTTACAGCCCTATGCTATTCTTCATGTTGTACAACATTGTAGTCACATTACCTCAAGTTGAGTCCGACAGATGTTATATGTCTGGAGTCTTTTAAAATTAAGATTCTAAAAAGTGTTAAAATTGGATACTTTCAAGAAAAGTATGAACGTGACATGGCCCTGCACAGATGAACCAGCTAAAACGTTTGAGTCGTTAATCAACTTTAGCAGTAAAGAAGTTCATTTATTAATTCATTTAAATGAAGGAAATCAACAATTTCTCTAAGCAAACATAGCTAAAACTTCAGCGATTCTAAAATGCTAACCATGCACAGTCCTAAGTAGGTTACTCACAGATTTGTGAAGACGGTAGAAAACACACGTTGATACACTTTTTGCAGCCAGATGGGAGATCATTTGGTCCTCATTCTGGAACAGGCGGACCTGTGGAATAGCTGGGTTTTTTTGGATGTCACTACAGAAAATATGTAATAAGTCAGAAATATGTTTTTGTTCATACTCAGTCTGAGGCAAGCGTGTGACTCACAAGTTGTGACATGAGATCAGTGTCTTGAAACAACACCCTCAAGACCTCCACACAGTACGACACCACTTCTGCAGGCTGGCTCTGAGACATCAGGCTCGAAATAATCTTTTCCACCAGAGTCACGCTGATGCAAGTTAGCTCCCCAGTGTTTTGATGGCAGTACTTTGAAGAAACAGACACTCTGTCCTCACCGGCCACCACTCCACATACCCCCAAATATATTAAACTCGCCACATCCGCAGCACTTTGACTTGGACGTGATCCGTTCAGAAAACACCTGTATGCATCTGTAATACAGTCAAATAGCTCTATCACTGCATATCGTTCTCTGCAGTTCATTGTGTATTCCATGACGCCGTCACTTCCGTGTAGAGCTGCTGCGGACCTTCTTCTTCTCTAGTGTTTTACGGTAGTTGGCAACCTTAGATTTCATTACTGCTATCTTGCGTTTGTAGTCTGCGGCGTCGTCGTCTTCTATTTTTTTTGGTTGGAAAGCAACGTTAGATGCATTACCGCCACCTTCTGAATAGGAGTCTGGGCCAAGATTATCTGCCAAACTATCATATTCAATGTATTAAGCCAGTATGCCACATACAATAAAAATACCTCTAAAACACTGTTCTCCTAATTTCCTTTGTAAAATTTCCTTTATGTTTTTCAAAGTGCATTTTTAATCTTTGCCTCTCTTGATGGTATTTTGGACAGTCCTTATATACATGTTCTATTGTTTCTTGCCTGCCATAATAATCACATCTAGCAATATTATGTTTATTCATTATAACAATGTACTGATCAATTTACCATGTCCATATCTTCATCTTGAAATTATATTGTAATACTCTCCATTCCTACACAAGCAGCATTTTACTCTAAAGTTGATCTGCTAGTATTCCTACAGTTGAGTGCAAAAGTTTACATCCCTTTACTTTGACATGGCAAAAGGAGTAAAACAAAGATTTTTTTTTCTTATCGACATTATATTTAATGCACATTCAGCTAGTACAAATGTTCTTTCATCATCAGCAATATGGTAACCACTCTATCTTTTGGGGTGTGTCTAGCTGCCATACCTCCCTGCCGAGTAGAGCTCAGCACTGCAACATCAGAACCTGACCACCATGTAGTGGAAGAGGGTCTCTTACCTTTCACCCTGGGGGGAGACCCAGACCTGGATGAGGTGTGTGAAGAAGCAGCAGAAGAATCCAAATAAGTTTAAAAGGTTTAATAAGGAATTTAAAATGGTTACAAATTGATTTTCTGAGATACAAGAGTTATATGAACCGAACTAATACAATTAGCAACTATTTCAAAGCAGGTGTTCTGCCTGAAATGGTCCTCAAAAGCCACAAACTTCTCACCAAGGAGAGGCCTCAAACCTCTCCTCTCTCCTCCTTTTAAACCCTCCATCTCCACCTCTGCGTGATGACAACCCCATGTAGAGACGACCTTCTTCCTCAAACGATGGATCATTGAGCATCAGCTCCTCTAACTTTCTTGTGATTATGCTTACAAAAGATAACATCTCAAAACACTTCACTGTGATGAAAAGAAACTCCTTTCTTTTAATGGATGCTTAATGGCATCCATTGTTTACTCCTAGTTTATTGACATGATACTTTTGGTGAATTTTTGCAGACGTAATTAGGTTTGTAAATAAAGAATAAAGAAAGCAATAAAGAAATGTCTCCTCCTAGAAGAAAAGAGACTAGACAGAAAGGAGGATTTTCACACTAGATGGAAACTTGCGCCATGGTCTGCACTGTGTGCCCTTCCTGTTAAACTAAGACCCCCAGTGGGGCAATACTTAACTGTCAAGTGAACTGTTGTTACTTCCTATGGCCTCCCTCTATACCACAGCCTGGTCACAAGCTTTCACCGTTGAGCAACATTGTCACATCACCACCACACTGTTGTTACATCAGTATCAATAACATACAGCGAATACACATTATAAGGTAAAATAAATCAAGATGAACATACTGGTTAACATAAGACATTATTGTAGAACAAGTCATCAACAATCAGCAGATAAAATAACTTTTATTTGATTACTTCCTGCATACTAACAATTTATTTCTGTTTCAGTTCTATAACTAATGCCATCATAGTACTGAAATATATGAAATTATATGAAACCAAACACAATTAATTCAAACTGTTAAGTAAGAAAACTAAGTACTACCATAATAAAACAATCAAACTCTTGAACTCCAGTGATTACAAACAAAAACAAAATCAATTACACTTTATTCTTGGAAAACATAAAAATCAAAGGATTATAGGTCAAAGATTTACATGTAAGCAACAGAAGTAATCACAGGGCTAAAATATACTGTAAGTTTTGAAAATATTTTTTGGCAAAGCAAAATATCAAGATAGATGTTGACTTTATTCTTGGCCCTTGAAGCCTGATGGACGTGTTTTGACAGATATGAAATTATACTTTAGATTAGATTTAATAGACATGGGCTAGATATGGTTAAATGACATTCACTGATTAGTGATTATTAAGACCTCTTTTTGGATCCACGATGGAAGTGGGGGAGCTCTCCATTCAGCTAGCTAGCTAATAACTGTAGAGTGTTGTACTCTTCCAACACCACTAGATGGCAGTGTAGGTGTTCATATACGTGGCCAAAAGGTCTCAGTTAAGCAGAATTAACTACTGTGGTAATATAACCCAAAATGTGATGTACATGCATGTGTATGCCAGGTCCTAAGAAGTTAAGTAGCAACAGATGTAGCAATATAATAAAAAATATATAAGAATATAACAGAATGTATGCTGCATGGGAGCAGCATGTGCAGCAGAGTCATTGTGCAATTATGCATGTAACACAAAATCTAGGACACTTTAAGCAGCAACAAATGCAGCAATATAATAAAAGAATATAATACATGTATGCTGCATTGGAGCAGCATGTGCAGCAGTTAACAGTCAATGTGCAATTATGCATGTGCAAACTGAGAATGTAAACAGTACATCACGTATTTCCTGGTAATAAACGCCTCAGCTGTTTTGGAGTCTGATGGCGGAGGGAAAGAAAGAGTTTTTCAGTCTACTGGTCCTGCATTTCACACTTCTGAATCTCCGGCCAGAGGCCAGAGAATTGAGCAGTCCGTGCTGGGAGTGGGTGGGATCTTTGAGGATAGAGGCAGCTTTCCTACGCACCCTGCGGTGGTAAATGCTCTGCAGAGAGGGCAGTGGAGTCCTGGTGATCTTCTCAACAGTCTTTACCACTCTCTGCAGGCGCTTGCGGTCCATAGCAGTAGTGCTGCCA